TGAGGATTTGGACAATTTTTAGTTAAGTATCTAATCAATTAATTGATGATCTAAATAATTATTGATGGGTTTGAGAAGCAATTAGTTGTCAGTTAATAGTTGCTCGATAATGTTTGTTGCATTTTTTTTTTGAAAATGTTTTTTACTACTCTAAGAAAGAAATTTTAAGATTAAACCATCTCCGTGAACCTTTTGCCCCTTACTAAGCCACATAGATCTAAGAACGTCAGGATTTCAAACCTGCCTTAATCAAGTTTTCAGACTTTTGAAACTTTATGCCTCTTCACATAAAGGTTTTGCAAAACTACATGAGAAAAATATTTCATAAAAATTTCTAAAACCAATGTCTCTTTTGAGAAATCAGCTCAACTGGATAAAATAATTCTTTTTACAAGATATTGGCAATGGCAACAGTGCCGTCTGTGCCCCAACACACTTTGCCTTTTTGCAAACTATTGCTTGTGTTGATGCTGTTAAAAAAATTGTAAAAAAATTGTCACATACTTTGCACCATGCCGAACTTTTATCAAGTGATGTGATACTACTCCACGCTTCATTTTCGATCGACTATGGTGTGAATGAAGCAGCTACATTCATAATATTCTGCAATCAAACGCCGGTGAGAAACACGAGGCGAAGAGTTGTTTCATCTTCGTTGTGAACATAGCATTGGACACAGAGGAGGTGCCGCAGAAGTTTGTTTTTAAACAAGGATCTTTTAATTAGAAAAATGCATTTAATGCTGATGCTGTGCAGCACTCTGTCACAGTTGCAGTCACTTATTTTTATAATTGTGTTAGCTCAAGTCACATTATGTCTTGGGGTTTTAACATTTGCAGTCATGTCATATGATGTATAGTTTTTTTTGGGTTTTTTTTTAATATAGCCAAAATATACTTTGAAAACCAGACACACAGTCATGTTATCCGTAATAAATAGGGGGAATGGGGAAAACTATTTCAAAAACCAGGAAAAATCTAAACTTTGAAAAAAAAAAAAAATCAGCAAATTTGAGTCTTCAGGGGTCAACTGTAGTTTTAAGCTGCAATACCACCAATCACCACTAGATGGCAACCATGTCTTGGTTGCACTTAGAATGGGTCTTATACTGCCCTATCCTCCAACCTGAGTAGGCCAAAAATTTTTTGCGGATTTGTAATGATATAAGAGGAATCCTAGAACCTCCAAAAAAATTTTACATTTTCAGTGGGTTGATTTCTGTGAAATAATGTAAAAAAATGAGGTCTTGCACTTAATGTTGGTTTCTTGCCCAGCACTTTTGTGTCATCCTTGAGTGGTATCTTTCATCCAAGCCAGCCTTTGCAACCCACTGATGAAAATTTGTGCCCCCTTCCAGCATTTAAAGTTGCCCATCCTTGACATCTATAAATATCTGTGGTTATTATTGACAACAAATTCAGAAGCATCAAACAGTATCCAAGAAGTAGCTCTCATTTATGAAAAGGTTGCTGACCCCTTGGCTAAAGAAGTGCATACATTTATGGTGATGAAATGTAATTTAGTGTTCAGTGGATGATTAAAGACTGGCTCCTAAGCATTCACCTATATACTGTATAACGAGGTCAAGGACACATGTAAAGCGAGAGGCAATAAAGACAAAAAAAAAGTGCAGTTCTCATTCTAAGTTACATTAACTTGGGGATCATTTTAAAGACAGAAGGACTGTGGTGGTGATGTCACAACTTTCCAAAGTTTCAGATACATGTGCATAATGTACATTTTACCGCCTAAACCATCAAAGAAAAATCATTGTTGGATAGCATCATTAACAGTTTATACATACATTTTGAATGAATTATTTTTACATTGAAATGCATTGGTCTAAAGATATATTTAGAACTGAGAGAGGAAAAGAAACCAGGTTATTTTCTCCGCATTAAGAATTCAACTGCACGCATGAGCTCCCTCGGCATGCAAGTTGACGTTTTGATGCCTTGATTGGCGAATTGATTTTTCCTCCTGAATAGAATTAAAGGCTTCGAAATTGATATAAACTGAACAAACCACCGAGAACGACATAACTTATAATAATTGCCACGTTTATTGCAAACCCATGCTTTGCATTTTGCTGTACTATGTTCATACTGGTCCAACAGCAACAGAATGACTGAGTATATTCCCGACATATAATTGTGGCTGCCTTTAGACTTTCTCACAAAGTCTGTTAGATCCTCCCCATGACTCACACATTGGCCAAGGATGGATTACAGCCCCGATTTCTAATTCCTGAAACTCTGCCTCCCGTAGAACAATCACATTCTCAGCAATGTCTGAAATAAGGAACACAGACCTTGTCTTCAGATTACCTTTGTGCTGTGTCTAAAAACATCTCAATGAATCAGGGTAGTGAATTGGATTCATAATTGTCATTGTCGAGAAAATTGTTCCTGAAGAAAAAAAATGGAGACAAGTTAATGATGGACTGAATGTCGACGTGAAGGTGTTGCCATGCCAGTTTACAGATAGCGTGGTCGTTTTTGTTTTAATTGTTCTCCCAACAGCCAAGAAAGGTCCTATTTTTTTTTCCTTGAAATTCCAGGCCTGATTTCCATAGCAGCAATTTACACATGGGTGTCTGGGTGGAATAGTGTGAGCTTCTGTTTCCCATCAGCAGCACGGCTAAGCAATGAAAGGAAAACGGGATTTCAGGAAAGGAAAAAATCATTTTCACAATCACAGGCAGACTGGAGACTATCATGGACCTGAATGTTGTGGACCACGCCAACTAGCTGTGCAACTTCATCATGTCATGCCTTATGCAGTAGACGGCCGCCATTTGTCATCTACTGTATAACGTTGCTGAAAGAATGATCATCAATGATAACACAGAGGAACCCCTAATGTCATGCACAATAGTGTCTGTGTTTTTGTATTTATTGTTTTTTTTTATTTATCATTTAATACATGGTGAGGTTATGGGCCATTGACTCAATTTACTTAATCTATTAATCTTAATTGCGGGGAAAAGAAATGATTGATTTATCTTTATTTTTAATGCAATTTTAATTTAATAGAATAATCTCATTCCTTTTGGGTTTTGTGTCATATTGAACCAAATACCAGACTGCATGACATTAGTAATTCCAAACCAGGGTGGCATGAAACACAATCACAAGTGCCACTGAAAATCTAATTCCAATAAATTCATCAGAAAATTCAGAACGCATTTTTGTTCATATCCTACGAACCTATAGTGACAGGCAAATCAATCAAATGCTTTTGGCGCAATAAACAAAATACGCCACGGCTTGCTGCCAATATATTAACTTTATGTTCACAGGACCAGTTTTCACTCTGTGTGTAGGTAAATAGTGACAACATCCTAATTATTTTAGTCTTCATACTTTATGGTGAGATTTTTCTCATCTAAAACGGGCCACTGTGTTGAGTCGTGGTTGGGAATCAGTGCCCTATCTTATACCATGCCGACTAATTGAGACTGAATCAACAGTGCTGACAGTGCAGACAAGCAGTGCACTTGTCACTTTTGCCTCAAGATGCAATTAATCAACAACCATTTCCGTGCAATCAGCAGAAGTATTAACAATCCAGCACACGATTACCAAGCTCATTGGAAAAATCCTGGGAAAAACGCACACCGACAAACGCAGCCGATCAAAACACACATCCTCAGTCCAGAAATCAAGGGATTATTTTCTAACTAGCACATGACAATACACAGTACAGCCGCACACTTTGAATTCAATTGGGCAATGACCTAACAAAATCAAAACCGGGACAAAACTACGTGGTGAGGAACATTGACACATAAGCCTGTGATGACACTTAACAAATCTTCCCACTGAGCTCCACCACTTGCTGAAAGATGACGGCAATCGTGCCAAGAATTCTTCGCGTATGTGGTCAATATAGAAGCATGGAGGACCGAAGCCAGAGGACACCATCCGCTCATTCAACGCATGTAGGTATATAAAACAAAAAAACTAGGCTAGTTTATCGAAGCTAGATAAAGTAGTAAAATACCTGAAAGGACAAATCGATAATAGTCACTAAGACGACTGATGGCTGACAATACTTTGACTTGCATCCACGTCATTAAAAAGACAGCAGACATGCACAGAGGAACGTGTGGGAGTGTGAACACAATCACAGACACTACACTTGAATTTACACCATGCCTGAGACCTTAAACACGTTGGCGCAGACACGCAGTCCAAAACACATGGAACCATCATTTGTCTCAACATCTTGTAAATGGAGTTAATGTGAACTACACACTGGACAATTTTACCGGTTGTTTTCTCTGAGCCACTTTTGTTTTCGCCACCTACCATGAAACTGATATGTAAGATGACACACTCACACATGCACATTCTCACTTTGTCGCTCACTTATTTAGTCTATGCTTGTCCTGTTGTGTGTACGCGTGTACTGAAGTGTAATTAAATCAGGTCGCCCACACCGAGCTTACATTTTATCATCTTCTATTATTACGCCTCCACATCAATCCTATTTTATTGCTGTGAATTTGTCATCATGTCCGATTTTTCTATACCCACATGTTTGTGTACTAATAAATCAAGAAAGTTTGAAATACATTTTCATATTTGAAAAGAGACACAACTGAAACAAAATGTTTGTCAACCCAACACTTTCAGCTAGATTCACATTTCTGCAAATTTTAAATGATAACATTTGAGACACGTCAAAGTGTTTTAATGCAGGCATATTTAGAATTTAGATGAGGGGCTATTTGGATGATCCTAAACCTAATTTAAAAGGCGGACATTTGATTCTCCACACGAGCAGTTTATAATGTATTTTAGAACTGGTTTAATAAAATGAGCGATTCTATCGTCCAGTTTCTAAAGCACAACCACAATCCAAAAGTTAGACAAATAATATTTTACACATGTATGCATGCGAGTTAGGGATGATGTCAAAGACTTTTTGCAGTCATGCATTGTAACGCGTCTCCAATGAAGACACAAGAAGCTGCATGTGTAAAAGTGTCTCACCTTGGTTACAGTGGCCACAGCGAGTGAGGACAATTCCAAGAAAAAGTACAACGGGGACAAATCGCGGTCCGACACTCATATCTGCTGCAACATCGGTCACCGACTGCAGCGGAGCCGAGAGCGAGCGTGGCCGGGAAGAAAAAAAAATCGCGACAGGGTCGTCCAAAAAAAAGCACCACCCGCTCTGCTCCTGATTACATTTAGTCCCGTTTGTTGCTCATCACGAGATCCATCCCTTCACCGTGCAGCAGCAATAAAGGCGCCAAGAGGTAAGTTGACAAAAGATCAATTATCAATCATGAAACAATAAGCTGCTTCAAAACTTCGCACATTTCCTGCCAGCTCTAAGTTACTGCAGCACTTTAAGCATCGCGCAAATATCTTTGCACTGAGGCTTCATCGCGCGCGCGGCGGTGTCCCGATCGTGTTCCGAGATGTGCCTCCTGTCCGGACCGCTGCTGCAGCGAGCGAGGTTCTGAAAGGATGACGATTGAAGAGGGCGCAGGAGGAGGAGGAGATGATCGAAGCACGCGGCGACGGAGACTGTGCGCCTCTGTACAGGAGGATCGGCACTAGAGGGGGTTAGCTGACAAGGCAACGTGTGCGCGTGCGAGTGCGCGTTTGTGTGCGTCAGGAGACCATTATGGGGACGGACGCGTTTGTGCCATGTGCTTCGAGAATATTACTGTAGCGTCATATGCTGAACCGGAATAACCAAGATAACTATAACCACATATCACGGATAACTGCAGGGCAGCACGGTGGCACGGAGTGGTTAGCAGCACATCCAGCTCACAGTTCTAATGTTGGGGTTCGAATAGTTGCTCACGCAGGGCCTACACTGTGTGGAGTTTGCAAATTCGAGCCGTGGTTGCGTGCATTTCCTCTCTCATTCTCAATACATACGTTACCCTTCCAAAGTTTGGGGGTCACCTTGAAATAAATAAATTTTATATATATATATATATATATATACACACACACACACACACACACAATATACACACACACACACACACACCAAAACCAAGACCTGTATTTCTCATTCTCTTTCTTCAATGACAATGAAAAAAAACAAACAAACAGAGTGTGTCTTTTTTTTTCTTTTGTAAGGTTCTTTCCTTTAAAACCAAGATATGCATGATACATGAGAGATCATCAAGGGCACCTCAGTAAGTTATTCAATTTCATTTAATTTGTCCCAAATTATTTTTTTATAGTGTATCTTCATTCATATCTGCCAACGATGTGTGGTAAAAAGCAATTCAATTAAATGCTCTACGTTTGATTGGCAGATGGTCCATTAACTCCACCTCTTCCCATTCATACAACAGAGTAAGTTGGGGTTTCCTGTCAGTAGTTACAACAGCTTTGTGTCTAATTAAACAAGCAGACTTCAAACAAAGTACCGGTATACATTTTATGAGTCAACTGAGACAAGATCTTTGTTATTCCAGAATTGTTGGTGGTGTTCTGTGAGATTATTCTAATATAATGCCTTGACCCTGTGAAGGTTTTAGAAACACCAATTTATCGAAGCCCAGTGTGCGCCGCTCTGGTTCCTCTGCAAACATTGATACAGTTGTCTAGCTCTGTCCACTCTCTGCAGCATATCCAAAGCGATCATGTGTACAAATTCAGTGGGATGATTTTCCAGCTCGTCCAGGGTTGCAGCAAGGTACATAAACCTTATTCTATAAAGAAAGATGTCACAAGCAGTTAGGTCCGGTGACGTTGCGGGCCACTTGCTGAACACCTGATTGTCCTATCCAGCATGGCCCATTAATCTGTTTGGCAGATGCTCATTGTAAAGTCTCCTGACAGTGAGATGTCAGTGTGCTATTTCACCATCCTAGTAAAAACAAGTAGTCCTCTTCATCAATATCTAGTCTTAGAAACATCAAATTGTCTGATTAGCATCTCCAGGGTACGTAACTTTGACCGCTAACAGTTCACCACTCAAAGAAGAGAAGGGCATAAAGTGCATTGTTAAGGTATGAAGGTCCGTAAGACTGCAAAAAAAAAATGTTGATCGGGAAAAGACTCCAACTATACAACTGTATTTGAATTGTTTTAAGAAGCTTGTACATTTTGGTAGAGTCCAGTCTTGTCACTTTCAAGTTATGTGAACATTTGCAGACCCCATTTTACATGCTTCAACCAAGACAAATTCAACCAACACTGATGCAGAATTTTATGAGACTTTCCACATTTTGTCTCCCAACAATTATCTCCATTCAAATGCAGTGCATCAGTGACCTGCTCCGACTGCCGAGCCAGCAATGTCAGCCAAGATCGAAGGTCTTCCCCTCATCTTCATGGACGGCTCATGAGCGAATAAGCAAACCGTCCGCCCGTCTCACCGGGTTAAACAAAGCTGCGCTGGCCGCTGTGATGATACCCAGTCAATCAGGGCATATAGGAACAACTCGCTATCAGCACAGTGAAGGTAAATACATCAACATCACAATCCATCTCCCATGCTGAGCTGCCAGCCAATCACCACACAAAGGGTATAAAACTGCCAGCTGACATTTCCTATGCAACCCATGCCAACCACCAAGGAGGATGATATGATAGATCATCGGTGTCAAACATACGGCCCGCGGGCCGGATCCGGCCCGCAAAGGAGTTTAATCCGGCCCGCGAGATGATTATGTAAAGCATGGTGTCAAACATACGGCCCGCGGGCCGGAACCGGCCCGCAAGGAGGTTCAATTAGGCCCGCAGGATAATTTAAAAGTGAAAAAAATGCATTAAAGACAGAATTAATATTTTTAATAAGGTGCAATTCATTGAGTATCCGCAAGGGGACACTGTTTTGATCAGAGAAGAAGACAACAGCAGCCTCAGTCCGTCACTGTGACAGACCCATGACAGCAGACGCTATCAATAGCACTCTCACATTTACACATTTAATAGCACTCTCCTTAGTTTGTAAGATTACATTTAGATTTTATATGCACGTGTAAATGGTTTAAAACTTCCTTTCTTTATGAATCTCGTTTAATCTTAAAGTGCATTCCTATATTTTTCAATACCAATTACTTGTTAATGTTTGTACAATCAGTGGGATCATTTGCAATGCATATATGTGAATGATAAAAGTAAATTGCACATTTGTCGAAGGAAATGTAAGGTGCTTCATGAAATATTTTGTAAAAGATATGTTCATTAAATTTCAACATTTTCCTAATGTTCTTGTGCTTCTTTATACCAAAACAAAGGAAAGACATTGTTTTGGTTATTTATAGCAAAGTATGGTATCATTTTAATGGTCCGGCCCACTTGACATCTACCGAGGCCGTATGTGGCCCACCATGTGAAATGAGTTTGACACCCCTGTGATAGATTTTATGCAACAATAGTGCTTTTGTGTCTGGGGTTAGTAGAGGCATGCAGCCACACGAATCACATAATATTATTGGTCAGATATGTTCAAATTTGACTGATATTGTCCTGTATAGTTAAGGGATTAAATACAATACAATACATGCTGATTTATATAGCACTTTCACTTTTTTTAAAGAGGGAACATGGATGAAAAAGGTAAAGATTTAACATGTGTTGTGTGTTACGTGTAAACCACATGGCATAAATGGTGTACGTGCTCCAGTCAGATTTGATTTCCTCACCTAAAAACCCATTATCGTATCTTTCCTTCCTAATTGCAGTGCCTCCTTAAACCTGTTACTTTCTCTTTTCACCATGTCAGACTAGAATTTGTGCTTTGCTAAGATGCGACTCCTCTGCAACAATAACGACCCCCCCCCCCAGCCCCACCCCCAGCTACGTCACCATTGTTTGGTCAATTTAAAATCAACAACAACAAAAGAAAGACATGTCAATAAAAGAAGATGATGTCCCTCTGGAAGGTGAAACTGGTGACACGACTCCAGTCTCACAAGAATGATGATTGAAGGAGATAACCCAGTTACAAAAGGTCGTCTCTCGCTGCCCCCTGCAATGATTTGGTTTCCGTTGCTGTAATGGTTTCCAGTGAGGTGTGACTGTTGTGTATAGGGCCTAACTGTGAGCTATTCTTTCCCCCTGTGCCGATAGAACACGCTCCATCCATTTGTACTCATCACAGGCAAAAAGCTGGAACAAGACCGCATCAGCAAAAGTGAATCAGAGGATAAAACTTTATCACCCCAACAGATTCACGAATGCCCTTTTCACAAGACAGATTATTATTATTATTTTTTTTTTTTTATAATTTTGATCATTTTTGGTAATTATAACCTCAAGTGGTTTCTCAAAGTTCCGTTCTCAAGTGCTCGGATCAGCCTGAGGTATCTTTAAGAAAGCAGAAAAAAAATAAAGAGCCATGACTAAGCATGCCCTTATACTGTATCAGTTACCGTATAATATAAAGTTATCAAACTCAAGGCCCCGGGGCCAGATCCAGCTCAACACAGAATTTTATGTGGTCCACCAAGGCAAATCATGTGCAGTGACTTCCTGTTTCTTGTTGAAATACCAAACGTAGCAAATTGTCTTTTGGACTTTTAATACTCTTTAAATATTTCAAGCATTTTACGAACCTCCCTTTTTAAAACGAATTGAAAAGTAGTCGAAAAAAACCCCTGCTCTTAACTGGCTTCTGATTTCAAAAGTTGTTATCCATCAATTTGTTGTGTGTATGTGTTAATATAAGGCGATCATACATCATATGGACTCACAGTCATAATGGCCCTCCAAGGGAAACCGTAACTACGATGAGGGCCATGTTAAAAATGAATTTGTCACCCCTCCTATATGAAGGAGTGAACATTTGTTTTGAGAGATATGACATCTATTCCTTCACAACATGTCTATTGACAAAATTTGAGCTCCAGCACTTTTGTATTAAGTATTGTTGGTTTCTTAAGATTAAGATATCCTTTATTTGTCCCACTTGAGTGCAAGACAAATATCCTCTGAAAGGCTAGAAGGAAGACAATCCATCAGGAGGTCAGAGACACACTACTCTTCAAAAATTAAGTAAGTAATGATAAATATAGGCAATATAAAAATTCTAGCAGAGAATTGCACAAAAATTATTGCATGGGTTTTGCAGCTGAGCTGCATGTCCGTGGTCACCCACCTCCCCAGCTGCCTAATGGGTGAAATGAGTGAAAACTGTTGGCCGTGATGTTTCGGCGAATTAGCACAGCAAACAGCGAGAGAACCTGATCAGAGCCGGAAGCCGGTATGCCAGTAACCCCAACAGGTAAAGAAATATCTGGCAATCAATCAGAAATGCAAGAAGGACATGGGATGAGTACGGGGGTAATATCTGAGGACTGTCAGCTGGTCATCATAAACCTTTCATCCTTCACATCATTTTCTTTCACTTTCTTCACCCATTTTTATTTTGAACTACAGTACTACTATTTTACTGCGACGTTAGTATTGCTAACCAGAGTCCCCCCACTAACAAGTTTAATGTTGAACAAATAGCAAAAAAAAAAAAAAAAAGAAAACAGCGGGGCTTTGTAATATTTCCCTCTCACTAATTTACTCTCCGAAGACCCAATTAAGAAATCACTGTCTACAAAATTATACTTTTATTGGTACAATCTCCCCAAATGTCTAGCCATTCGTGTCATTATTAGTTTAAAACTTGTCTGGGAACAAATCCATCGCCATTATCTTTCGACTGTAATGTTCCATGTCATCAACATGACACTTGTTAAGAAGCGAATA